GAGGAGGAGGAGGAGGAGGAGGAGGAGGAGGAGGACTGTGAGGTCCTGGGTGCTCTCTGAGCTTGCTTGTTTCTTACAGACATTTCATGACCCAAACTAGGTAACATTATCAGTGACCTGGACTTGTAGACATTTGGAGCTTCAAAATTAAAGCAGGTGACCATTTAGCTTGCAGATGTTTTGACCCAATTCCACCCAGAAGTGGGATGAAAGTCACACAAGGTGTAACCCAAACTGTTAACCCAAGGTGAAACCCAAGGTTGATGTTTCTCAAGGCCCCGAGAAACCAACGCGATGGACCAGGTGTGGCCAGCAAACCAGCTTCCTCCAATCCTGCTGTACTATAAACAGGGAAGGAGTTGTAGACCCTTACCCAACATGCATGAACATGTACGTGAGAAACCGCCAGGCCCGGGCGCGATGTCCAGGATGGTAGACCAAAGGGCTTTTCATGTACTCAGGATGGTAGGTCTGTAACACCCACTTGTTCAGCCGCGCTCCATAGCAAAGGAAAACTATGATCTAGTAGAAAGGAAAGAAGAAATTACTGTGACGGTTTTCTGTAAGTTGACATCCTTCAAGCACATTGGACCGAAGGCCCTGTTAGTGGAGCTGAAGTCTAAGATCTTTGTTTGCTGCAGAATCTCTGGATTCTGGCCAAGAGGCAGTTCTACAGCAAGCAAAAGACAGTGGGAGAAGCCAGACTCGGCCAGTGACCATGCGATTTACTGAACAATTGCAGTGGTTTGCTTAACAACGGTGGCAAAAAGGTTGCAGAATCGGGTGTGACTAATTAACCACTGCCTTGCCCTGTTTCCCCTATCCAGTTGTATCTGACTCTAGAAGGCGGTGTTCATCTCTGTTTCTCAGTCAAGGGAACCAGTATGGTCCGAAGACGCTTCTGTGGTCACGTGGCCGGCATGGTTGAGGCGCACGGAACGTTGTTATCTTCTGAGCAAAGGGGTACCTATTTATCTACTTGCAATTGCATGCTTTCAAATTGTTAGGGCGAGAATGGGAGCTCACCCCATCGCATGGTGTTCGGGTCTCGAACCCGGGCTCCAGCTTTCCAGCTGACAAGCTCAGGGTCTTAATAGCTGAGCCATCATGCCCCTCTCCTGCCTTGCTTAGTAACGCAAATGCTGGTCCCAATTGTGATCATAAGTTGAGGACTATCTGCATTTAAGAATTCTAACACACACATACACAGAGAGAGAGAAAGGGGGAGGGAGAGAGAAACAGAGAGGCAGTGAGATGGAGAGGGAGGGAAAGAGAGAGAGAGAGAGACAGAGAGAAAAAGAGAGAGGGATGGAAAGAGAGATGGAAACAGAGAGGGGGGGAAAGTGAGAGAAAAAAAGAGAGAGAGAGAGAGAGGGAGGGATGGATGGAAAGAGAAACAGAGAGGAGAGAAAGAGAGAGAGAAAGAGAGAGAGGGAGGGAGGAAAACAGAAAGAGAGACAGAGAGAAAAAGAGAGATGGAGGGAGGGGGAAAGAGAGAGAGAGAGAGAGAGAGAGAGAGAGAGAGAGAGAGAG